TAGTAACACTTTGTATGTTAGGGAGAGATTACGCTGTATTATTTTACTAGGGGATGTGCTGGTTTTTATTGCTTTACAGAGAGATAAAAACCAGCACGTCCCTGCTGACAGGAGAGAGGTCTGTGTTGTTTACACTCACCGATCTCTCAGCATGTCAGCTGCCCTGCCGATCAGAGTCCCAGCTATGAGTTGCTGGCCGGAACCCAGTGATTGACACCTTGGTGAGCGAATGACAGCTCGGGTAGGGTGGTCCGCGCGCCCCCTACCCGGAAATGCAGAATCTCATATATAGATATATCTATGAGAGAGAGAGATAATATGTATGTTTGTGATTTTGCGCAGTAAAACTGCTACAGGGCGGTCGGCAAGCGGTTAAATGTGTTGGGAGGGTGATCCCATTAAACGAATACTCCCACTACCCCAATGAGATGTTTATGGTGCCCTCATGCTATATTAAAGGAGGAACTCCACTGAGTGCAGTAATTTATATCCCTTAATCTAAAGGGGTACTCAGAATCACAAATTACTGATAAAACTGCAACTAAAAGCACTAAAACTAGTAATTGGTTATGAAACCATTTTAGATCTATGTTAACATTTGGACCCCCAGGGGTCAATGTCTCCAGTTCGTAGATTCATCTTGTTTCATTCCGTGATATTTCTGGTTTCATGTTAGTTCCCCTCCAATGGCTTTTAATCCCATCAATGCCATAAAAGGTCATACCCCTGGGATCTTTACCATGGTAGCCTCTAAAATGCCTGGATAGGCTATATATTTTAAAGAAAAACCTTTCTTTATATTATTGATATCCTCACCTGTTCTGGTAGCCAGGATCTAGTTGTCCTCCCCACGTATTGAAGTCCACACAGAAACTCCATAACATAGGTTACATGTGTGCTGCCACAAGTTTGGTTGTATACTTTTTCTTGGTAACATTAAACATAGTAAAGAAAGGAAAAAGATTCCGGGTTTATGACTAATTTTACATGGCATGCATCCCGTGCATTTAAAAAATCCTTTTTGATCCAGAAAGATCACCTTATTTAGGGGGCTGGGCTATGACATTATAAACTAATTTATTCCTGAGATTCGGACATTTCCTATATATACCGTATTTTTCGCTCCATAAGACGCACTTTTTTTCCCCCCAAAAAAGGGGGGGAAAAGGTCAGTGCGTCTTATGGAGCGGCCGGTCCGGTATTTCCACCGCGGCCGTGTCAGAATACCGGGCCGGCCGCTCAGCTCTGCAGCGGGGGGACCTTATGGAGATGACTGCTGACCTTTGGGGAGGTGGGGAGCGGGTACCTGAATTTGACAGATACCCGTTCTTACTTCCGCAGAGTTTTTGTTTGATCTTACCTGTTCCTCTATCCAGCGGCGCGCTGTCTTCCCGGCTTCTGTAGTGTGGGCACTGGGCATGACAGCCGGGTGCCAAGTGCGCATGCGCAAGAAGGGGTGCTTTTTGTGAATGGTAAGGCGGTACCTGGGACACATGACAGATCCCAGAAGCCGCCGGACCAATCACAAAGCGCAAGTGCTTCTCGCTCATGCGCACTGGGCACCGGCTGTCATGCCGAGCGCCATTACAGAAGCCGGGAAGACAGCGCACGGCTGGATCGAGGAACAGGTAAGATCAAACAAAAACTGCGGAAGTAAGAGCGGGTACCTGTCAAATTCAGGTACCCGCTCCCCCCCCTCCCCAAAGGTCAGCAGTCATCTGTACTGTCCGCAGTCTCTGGTCATCCCTGTGCTGTCCGCAGTCTCTGGTCATCCCTGTGCTGTCCGCAGTCTCTGGTCATCCCTGTGCTGTCCGCAGTCTCTGGTCATCCCTGTGCTGTCCGCAGTCTCTGGTCATCCCCGTGCTGTCCGCAGTCTCTGGTCATCCCCGTGCTGTCCGCAGTCTCTGGTCATCCCCGTGCTGTCCGCAGTCTCTGGTCATCCCCGTGCTGTCCGCAGTCTCTGGTCATCCCCGTGCTGTCCGCAGTCTCTGGTCATCCCCGTGCTGTCCGCAGTCTCTGGTCATCCCCGTGCTGTCCGCAGTCTCTGGTCATCTCCTGTACTGTGTCCGCAGTCTCTGGTCATCCCTGTGCTGTCCGCAGTCTCTGGTCATCTCCTGTACTGTGTCCGCAGTCTCTGGTCATCTCCTGTGCTGTCCGCAGTCTCTGGTCATCTCCTGTGCTGTCCGCAGTCTCTGGTCATCCCTGTGCTGTCCGCAGTCTCTGGTCATCCCTGTGCTGTCCGCAGTCTCTGGTCATCCCTGTGCTGTCCGCAGTCTCTGGTCATCCTGTGCTGTCCGCAGTCTCTGGTCATCCCTGTGCTGTCCGCAGTCTCTGGTCATCCCTGTGCTGTCCGCAGTCTCTGGTCATCCCTGTGCTGTCTGCAGTCTCTGGTCATCCCTGTGCTGTCTGCAGTCTCTGGTCATCCCCCTGTGCTGTCTGCAGTCTCTGGTCATCCCTGTGCTGTCTGCAGTCTCTGGTCATCCCTGTGCTGTCTGCAGTCTCTGGTCATCCCCTGTGCTGTCTGCAGTCTCTGGTCATCTCCTGTACTGTGTCCGCAGTCTCTGGTCATCCCCTGTACTGTGTCCGCTAGTCTCTGGTCATCCCCGTGCTGTCCGCAGTCTCTGGTCATCTCCTGTACTGTGTCTGCAGTCCATTTGTTCAGAATTCTTTTTTTCCTGTTTTCTGCCTCTAAAACCTAGGTGTGTCTTATGGAGCGAAAAATACAGTACATTTAGGTGTATTGGGCAGTAGGTTGGATAAGATCGTGTCCCTCTAGTATGGGCGAGTGTCTTCTGACAATGTATCCGATATCTGTATATTGCCCGATTAAATTCTGTGCAGAAAGCTGCATCAAACTTGGTAGTTTTCTGATTTACTCCATCAATTGATCCCTGTTCATTAAACCCACTTTCCTCTTTACCTCCCTCAGCATGGGTATGTTACCTATCCATTTTGGATGGTGACAGCTTGATGTGGGTATATACCCGTTTCTGTCAGTCTTTTTGAAAATGGTCCCAGTACATACCCTGTCCCTTCTTTAAAAAAAAAAAAAAAAAATTCCAGGTCAAGGAAATGGATACTTTTATTGCTCCATTGTCCCGAAAAAGGAGATATTATTCCGGTTGATATAGTATAAATTATACTCATGAAAAAGACGATGTGGTTGTTTCAAGGAGCACAATGCGATGATACCTGAACAAAAGTGAGCTGCATGGCTGAGTTGCCAGAAAGAAGCCTTTACTGCGCCCATGCCACAAAAAAGCCCGGTGAGGTGTGTCAAGGTGTTGTCGGGCAGATTGTAACTGGGCTTCTTTGTAGCATTGGTGCACTAAAGGCTTCTTTCTGGCAATATGTCGCAGATTACATTTTGGCATAAATTTATGAGGAAATTTAGATTTTTTTTTTTTTTTATTGGACTTGTTTAACTAATTGCCAACCGCAGATAGTCGAATAACAGCTGGACTGCGGCCGGCCAGTTCTGGGTGGACATCATATGACGTCCTACCAGAATGCGCTCTCCTGTGCGCCCCCGGCGATCTCCGTGATGTGGTTAAAGGCCAATCACAGCGGCCTTTTACCCCCCCCGTGATCAGCCGTGTCCAATGACACGCTGATCACAGGGTAATGCAGTTGCCGGTTCTCGGCTGCACTTTCCTCACGCAATGCTGAGAACCTGCAGTTGTCAGAGCAGGGATCGGCACTGATGATCAGTGCCCTTATGAGTGCCGCCCACCAGTGCCGCCCACCAGTGCCGCCCCACCAGTGCTGCCAGTCAGTGCTGCCAGTCAGTGCCACTAGTCAGTGCGCCTATCAGTACCCATCATCAGTGCCGCTTATCAGTGCTGCCTCATCAATGCACATCAGTGAAGGAGAAAAATTTACCTGTCTGCAAAATTTTATAATAGAAACAAAGAAACTTTTTTTTTAAAAAATTTTTTGCAATTTTTTTGCTTCCAGCACAAAAAGTAAAGTGCCCAGCGGCGAGTAAATACCACCAAAAAAAATCTCTATTTATGAGAAAAAAATTATAAAAATTTCATATGGGTACAATCTTGCATGACTGCGCAATTGTCATTCAAAGTGCGACAGCGCTGAAAGCTGAAAATTGGCCTGGGCAGGAAGGGGGTATAAGTGCCGGTAGGCGAGGGGGCAAAAAGTTCATGTTTTTTTTTTTTTTTTTTTTATTTATATTTTTTTTTTTATAGCGCAAAAAATAAAAGTTGCAGAGGGGGTCAAATGCCACAGAAAGAAAGCTCACATCGTGGGGAAAAAATTGACTTAAATTTCATTTGGGTGCAGCGTTGCATGACGGCACAATTGTCCGTTAAAGTAACGCAGCGCCGTATTGCAAAAAAAATTGCCTGGTCAGGATGGGGGGTAAATTCTCTGGAGGGCGGGAGGGGGTTAAAAAGCCACAGATTTGGCTTTAATTGTCATTGTACCCCATGTGTGTCCCCTTGTGTGTCTGTACCAAGGCCAAACATTCCGGGGGGTGGAGACTTCTGATCCAGGGGGCGGAGACTTCTGATCAGGGCCATTTGGGGGATTTCTGTTATTAGGATTTTTAAAACGAGACAATCTCTGATAATAAATGGCTTCCTATCATCACTATCCTTCAATAAAAGACGTTTTTTTGTCATGATCAGTCACATTTTCAATATCAATGCTAAAAATTTCACCATTTCAACCGGGGGAGGGAAACTTTTTGGCTGAGAATATTAGTAAATTGGGTGGATTTTCCATCCTCAGCACAACAGCCGTATTTGTTGGATCAAATTGACAATTTGCTGATAAGTGTCGCTGCCTCAAGGAAGTCGTGTAATTGAGGGTTCTGCCTTCTGATAATATTTATACTTCGACCTTTACAAACCCAATTCTAACTATTACTGAATGTCACGTCTGTGCTTTCCAGCCAAGTCTTTGTATCATTGCACAGAGATTTACCCCTGACGTCCCGCCTCCCCTTCAGTCTTGCACAGGTGTTCCGTCTCCTCCCCTCCAGTCTTGCACAGGTGTTCCGTCTCCTCCCCTCCAGTCTTGCACAGGTGTTCCGTCCCCTCCCCTTCAGTCTTGCGCAGGTGTACCGGCCCCTCCCCTCCAGTCTTGCGCAGGTGTACCGGCCCCTCCCCTCCAGTCTTGCGCAGGTGTACCGGCCCCTCCCCTCCAGTCTTGCGCAGGTGTACCGGCCCCTCCCCTCCAGTCTTGCGCAGGTGTACCGGCCCCTCCCCTCCAGTCTTGCGCAGGTGTACCGGCCCCTCCCCTCCAGTCTTGCGCAGGTGTACCGGCTCCTCCCCTCCAGTCTTGCGCAGGTGTACCGGCTCCTCCCTTCCAGTCTTGCGCAGGTGTACCGGCTCCTCCCCTCCAGTCTTGCGCAGGTGTACCGGCTCCTCCCCCTCCAGTCTTGCGCAGGTGTACCGGCTCCTCCCCTCCAGTCTTGCACAGGTGTACCGGCTCCTCCCCTTCAGTCATGCACAGGTGTATCGGCTCCTCCCCTCCACTCTTGCACAGGTGTACTGGCTCCTCCCCTGGACTGGAATGGCTTCCTGTGATGTCACCGCACACTGGGAGATTCTCACAGTGTGCATTAGAAGCTGCAGCCATTCAGATAGAGCTCCGCCTCATTTCCTGGCTGGAGGACGTCCAGCATCCACCATGGTGCCGTCCTCCAGTTTCTTGATGCACTACATGTACAATGTATTCCAGTGAGGAGTGTGATGGGAATATCTGTATGTCTCTATAGACTGTCTTGTTGTGGGGAGATCTCTCATGTCGGCTCCTCTGATCTGCCCGCAGGTAAGGCGCACCTGAAGAAGGCGCTCATGAAACACGAAGAGGCGATGAGAATCCACGGCCTGTGTAAGATCCTTCGTAAGATGGACATCCTGCAGGAAGTGCTGGCCCTGGCACACAAACGTTCGCTCAGTAAATACTCCGACATCGACCACGAGGAGGATTTCTTCGAGACGGGGAGAGGCTCCTGACATCCAGCGTAAGAGCGGCTTTTCTGAAAAGCATTTCATGTGTTAGATGAGGATAACCTCCTCTCTGGTTGTGTCACTGGGAACCGAGCACTGGGGGGCCCCGCTGGGAAACGAGCACTGGGGGGCCCCGCGGGAACCGAGCACTGGGGGGCCCCTGGGAACGAGCACTGGGGGGGGCCACTGGGAACCGAGCACTGGGGGGGGGGGCCCGCTGGGAACCGAGCACTGGGGGGGGGGGGGGGGGGGCCCGCTGGGGACGGAGCACTGGGGGGGGGGGGGCCCGCTGGGGACGGAGCACTGGGGGGGGGGGCCCGCTGGGAAACGAGCACTGGGGGAGGGGGGGGCGCTGGGAACCGAGCTGTGGGGGGGGGGGGCCGCTGGGAACCGAGCACCGGGGGGGGCACTGGGGGTAAGCCAAGGACACTTTTAATCTTGCAGTACTGGGATTAGTCCTCACCCACCAAGATTCAGTCTGCATGGAGTTTGTATGTTCTTCCTTTGTATGTGTGGGTGTCCCGCTACATTGCAGTATAAACTGGGAGGCTATTTGGCATCTGGCCTAATGTGCCCCTAATGAAGACATTGTACAAGTGCAAGCTCCTGGGCCGAGTAATATGTCAGAGCTATATAAATGTATAATAATGTGTGACTGTGGGGGAGGGGACATTAGAGTGTAAGCTCCTCAGTGCTCTCTGCACAGGACTGCAGAATACGTTGGAGTCCTCTAGGGCTTTATGAAGGTCAGTGTCCCGGTCTTTGTCCCATACTAGTTGAACAGTGAATGGTCTGGGTGGGCACCTAGAAGGACTGACAGGAACAACACTCTGGGAGTTCTCTCCAGTACCAAATATTTTTTCATGTACTGTCACCAGTCAGTGTCCCTGATTACCGCTACACCAGCTATATTGTGACGCTGTGCTGCACTGGTGACAGTAAAAAATTGAGAAAACTTTTATTTTATTTTCCAAAGTTTTTTGTCATAAATTACAACTTTTAAAAACTCTCCATGCCTCTTATGAAATACCTCAGACTGTCTACTTTGCAAAAAGGGGGTCATTTGTGGGATATCTGTACTGTTCTGACATTTGGGGGATATCTGTACCGTCCTGACAGTTGGGGGGGGATATCTGTACCGTCCTGACAGTTGGGGGGGGATATCTGTACCGTCCTGACAGTTGGGGGGGGGGGATATCTTGTACCGTGACTGACAGTTGACATTTGGGGGATATACCTGTACCGTTCTGACATTTGGGGGATATCTGTACCGTCCTGACATTTGGGGGATATCTGTACTGTCCTGACATTTGGGGGATATCTGTACCGTCCTGACAGTTGGGGGGGGATATCTGTACCGTCCTGACAGTTGGGGGGGGGGATCTGTACTGTCCTGACATTTGGGGGATATCTGTCCTGTCCTGACATTTGGGGGGGATATCTGTACTGTCCTGACATTTGGGGGATATCTGTCCTGTCCTGACATTTGGGGGATATCTGTACCGTCCTGACAGTTGGGGGGGGATATCTGTACCGTCCTGACAGTTGGGGGGGGATATCTGTACCGTCCTGACAGTTGGGGGGGGGGGGGGGGATATCTGTACCGTCCTGACAGTTGGGGGGGGGGGGATATCTGTACCGTCCTGACAGTTGGGGGGGGGGATATCTGTACCGTCCTGACAGTTGGGGGGGGGGGTGGGGGGGGGGGGGGGGGATATCTGTACCATCCTGACATTTGGGGGATATCTGTACCGTCCTGACATTTGGGGGATATCTGTACCGTTCTGACATTTGGGGGGGATATCTGTACTGTCCTGACAGTTTTGGGGGATATCTGTACTGTTCTGACATTTGGGGGATATCTGTACTGTCCTGACATTTAGGGGATATCTGTACCGTCCTGACATTTGGGGGATATCTGTACCGCCCTGACATTTGGGGGATATCTGTACTGTCCTGACATTCTTGGACCTCAGAAATTAGATTGGCTGTCAGTACTTCAGGATTGATCAATATTCAGATCTATACCATAGTTTGTGAACTCTATAACTTTCCTACAAACTAAATAATACATCCTAATTTGGGTTATTTTCACCACAAAAATGTAGCAGAATACATCTCGGCCTAAATTTATGAAGAACAATTATTTATTTGCAAAATTTTACAACAGAAATTAATGTGGTTTTTTTTTTTTTTTGTTTTGTTTTTTTTTTCAAAATGTTCAGTCTTTCTTTCGTTAATTAGCAAAAAATAAAAAAAAACCCGGTGGCGATTAAACAAAAAAAAGGTCAAGTATCTGCCTGCTCGTCCTTAAATAAATACATATGCCAAAAGACCCCCCCCCCCCCCAGTGGGACTTTATTGCAGCAATGAAGGGTCATACATATATCCAAAGAGACATGATAGTAAAAAAGAGACATTTCTCTGACAGTGTTCTTACAAAGGAACTCTTAATTCAAAGAAAGAAACCACACAAAGGAGAAAACTGACGCGTTTCAATCATTCCACATTTTAGATCTAAAATTTTAAATACCACCAAAAGAAAGCTCTAGTTGTGTGAACAAAATGATAAAATGTTAGTTTGGGTACAGCGTTGCATGACCGCGCAATTGCCATTCAAAGTATGAGAGCGCTGAAAGCTGAAAATTGGCCTGAGACAGGAAGGGGGTGACAGTGCCGGGTATTGACGTGGTTAATACAAGAAGTGTGTGTGGGGGGGGGGAAAATATAAAAAAAAAAAAAATATATATATTTATATAACCTCATTTTCCTATAATAACCGCCTCTCCTCTGTTTTTGTAGCAAAAAACCCAACAGAAGCCGGAGATAAAGAATCCCATCTTCTCCAAGGTGAAGGTGACAGACATCTTCCATCGGTTGGTAAGTGACACCAGACCAGAAAGGATTTCCACAGCAGAACTGTGGTCAGCACTCCCCCCTGGCAGTACTCGGGTTCAAATCCCAACCACGGCACCACCTACCTGGAGTTTGCATGTCTCTCCCTGTGCCTTTCCTTGACACTTCCCTTTTCGGAAAGGGTCAAGAACTTTTTTTTCCCTTCGAGTCTGGTATGGCTTTTGAGGGAAACCCCCACAACAAAATTTAGCACAGTGGCTAAATGGTTAGCACTTCCACTTGGCAGTACTCGGGTCGTTGGTTCAAATCCCAACCACGGCACCACCTTCTTAAAGGTTGCATGTTCTCCCTGTGCCTGTGTGGGTTTCCTCCGGGTGTTACTCCGGTTTTCCTCCCACACTCCAAAGACATCCTGGGAGGGCTCCTGTCTAAATTGTCCCTATTATGTGTATGTATGAATGTGAGTTAGGGACCTTAGATTGTAGGTCTCGGAGGGGGCGGGGACTGATGTGAATGTACAATATATATGTAAAGTGCTGTGTACATTGAAGGCGCTATATAAGTACCTGAAATAAATAAATAAGGAGTTAATCCTCCGCATTGTGTAAAAAGGCTGTTTGATCCAGTCTTCTCTGATCCTCCCTTTCTTCCAGTGTCCCCCTCTTATCTCCTGACATATTGTGTGGAGTCGCTCTGCACATGCTCAGTTTAGTGTGTATTGCTAGATAGGTTTTTTTTTTTTTTTTTTTTTTAAATAACTGCAATAAAACCCTATCTTATATGGGGCCTGCGAAGGGAACAGGATAAATCCCGTCCTTCATTGTGACCTGGTTAGTACTGCTTGTGGTGGCGCTCGAAGAGAGAGGAGCCTCTTCCCTTCACCCTTCACCTTCCCCCTTTCAGATGGGATATCAGGGTGTCCATATACCAATGTAGAAAGGGTACACCATGTGTAAATGAAAGGGCCGACGCCCTCCCAACCAGCCCCAACAGCCAAAAAGTAAGGATGTCTCCACCTCCACTGATGCATTCCGCCCCACCCACCCACCGGGTTCTTAGTCATTCCGCCCCACCCACCCACCGGGTTCTTAGTCATTCCGCCCCACCCACCCACCGGGTTCTTAGTCATTCCGCCCCACCCACCCACCCACGGGTCTTAGTCATTCCACCCCACCCACCCACCTGGTTCTTAGTCATTCCGCCCCACCCACCCACCGGTTCTTAGTCATTCCGCCCCACCCACCCACCGGGTCCTTAGTCATTCCGCCCCACCCACCGGGTTCTTAGTCATTCCGCCCCACCCACCCACCGGGTTCTTAGTCATTCCGCCCCACCCACCCACCTGGTTCTTAGTCATTCCGCCCCACCCACCCACCTGGTTCTTAGTCATTCCGCCCCACCCACCCACCGGGTCTTAGTCATTCCGCCCCACCCACCCACCGGGTCTTAGTCATTCCCCCACCCACCGGGTCTTAGTCATTCCGCCCCACCCACCGGTTTCTTAGTCATCCGCCCCCCCACCCACCCACCCACCGGGTCTTAGTCATTCCGCCCCACCCACCCACCGGGTCTTAGTCATTCCGCCCCACCCACCGGGTCTTAGTCATTCCGGCCCACCCACCCACCCACCGGGTCTTAGTCATTCCGCCCCACCCACCCACCCCCGGGTCTTAGTCATTCCGCCCCACCCACCCACCGGGTCTTAGTCATTTCGCCCCCCCACCCACCGGGTCTTAGTCATTCCGCCCCCCCACCCACCCACCGGGTCTTAGTCATTTCGCCCCACCCAACGGGTCTTTTTGCGCTATAAAAAAAAAAAAAAAAAAAAAGACCAGCAATATTTTTTACTTTTTGCTATTA